CCCACAAGGACATCACTTCTCTAATATGTGCCCAATTTAGTTTCACCTGTCTCCATGTGCTCCCTTCCCAATTCCTACAACCTGCTTGCACATCCTGTTTCACTATGAACAACAAGCTTCTTCCTTGGGGCAGCAGCACTCCCTTCACTTCTCACAGTGAGCTTAGACACCAGCCAAAATGGGAGCAAAAACACCAGACAAGTTTACCTGTCTTGCTTATCCAGACTGTGAGCCCAATCAAGGCATCACCAGAGCTGTGGCAGATCCTCACCCTGTGCTTTGGGTACCACCAAAATGACAGAGCAACAGGCCCACTGTTAAGTCATCCATCAAGATAAAAGAGTGGCCTCTGGATAAAGCAGCACAAGGCAAAGAAGGTCTCCCAGAACAAGGAAAAATTAGGAAAATACATGAGAGGAGAGACACCAAGGTTGCAGTGACAGGGAGGATACTGAAGGTGAGCACAGATCTGGGGAACAGGGACAATTCAAGCAAACGCTGAAGGATGTTGGAAGAGCAAACACAAGCAAAAAGAGGATCTACCAGCAAAGGAATCACAAGCAATCACAGCAGCAGTCTTCCTCTTGCCAATTCCATGTGCTTTTCTTGATGGACATCCTAGTGCAAGGACTTCATGTGTTGTTGAAAACTCATTTATTTCTTCATTTATGAGGTACAACTTTGTACTTTAAGTACACACAAAAAATGTGCTGAAAATTTAAACACTCACACAAAATCTTGCCATGCTGGCAACAGAAACTTTGTATGTGCACAGGCAAGTGCTGGCACACAAACACATGCATTCACACCTATGCTACAGCTTTTCAGCAAAAGGAATGCTCCCCTAAGAGTCTTCAGAATGAGAAAGGAAAGGAGGAGGGGTGCACAGCACTGTCACAGACAGGCCAAGCTCCTCTGCTCCAGCCTCAGAGACAGCCAGCACTGATATCAAAGTCTGTTTTCCTGCAGGTCCTGTCCAGTCCCTCCCCTAATCTGTGGGAGCATCATCCCATCCTGCACTGCACCCTGGGCTGCAGCCACCTCTGGAGTTTGAGTCTGGGTCACCCCTGCCCTTGCACTGCCCTGAGTCTGTTTTGTTATCTTGCCTCCCCACTCCAAGTGAATTTTTTGGGTGATTTTAAGAAAGAGAAAAAGGCGGTGACCAATTCTCCGGCCTTCTGATTTAAACACTAAAAGAGAAAAAAATATTCCTACATTGCTTCCCTCTTGTTTTTCTAAATAAAAATAATGTATAGCCCTAACTGGATAATAAATATGCTCAAAAGCTGTCCTTAAGTAAAAGCTTTTGATAACAAATTGCCTGTGCTAACCGCTATTTTACTGTTGAATTTTTTATTGTTGCTTAAGCACTGCAATTATGCTAATAAGCCTGAGAGGATGGTACACTAAAGCATTGAATGTGACAGATATAATACTCAATAAAATGTTAATCTTACCTGAAAATTGGAATCAAACAGCCTTATTAGTATTTATGGATATGGCACCTCCAACATGTTTCTCTTAAGAGGAATATATATATGCAATAGATATTTCCAAATATACCCTACTATTTCTCATGCCTCCACAGAATTTAATTCCAGGTGGCTATTACCCCTGCTGCTAATTGCCAGTCCCTTTTGGAATAAGAAAAGAGTGTGCTGCTTTCTGGGACATGCAAAACTCCTGCACATTGGAGAGCTTTTCCTTCGCCACCTGGAGGATGGCAGCTGTCTCTGGGGATGGGGACAGCTGTCCCCAGCTCTCAGCACGGCCACCAGGCTTGTGAGGGTGTGGCACCACACAACAAAGGCTCTGCTCTGCCACCCTCTTAGGTATTTTCCCCGTATCCTCACCTTTTATGTGCAAGGCAGGTAAATCCAGCAAAGGGTTCAGTTATTTACAGGTGCTAGAGAAATGACATCTGGATTTTAAGATGGGCCTAAAGACAAATTTATTTATTTTACTCTAAAACATTTCAGCTGGTGATAACAGGGAACCAGACCCATCCACTTCACTGCAAGTCACAGCTCTGCTGGTTTGGACCAAGAGCTGTGGAGCTGAGGCAGGGGTCCGGCATGGAGGTGCTCTGTAGATGACTTCCCACAAGCTGCATTGCTTTTTGCACCTTTATTTCACCACCTAGCCCCAGTCTGCTTTCTCAATTGACTGCATAGCTTTTTTGTAGGCTTTTTCCAGAGGGATTTTTGGATAAACCCATGGGTTTCAGATCCAGCCTCAGGGCTCCACCACCATGACCTTCCTGTGAATAAAATTAAAGTGGTCTTTAGCACCTTGACTTTCTCATCTACAGAAGGAAGAAAAAATAAACTCAGAAGAGCCACATGCTTCAGACAAACTATACTTACATTTTTGACCAGGGTCTAAAGAGCCCATTTGTTCACAATGGACTGTGTAGTTTTCAAGTGCTGCAGATTAATGTCCAAATAGCAGCTGCTGGTTTCCAGCTTCGCTCCTCATGCTGCTCTCACCCACGGGAGTCAATTCTGCTGACATCAATAACCACCGTGATATTTCCTGATAGTAAAGCGAGATCCTTACCACTGGATAATGCACGCCTCTATGGTGGCAAACACTAGGTGGGAGGTATCTAGGAATTCTTTTCATGAATAGTCACAGCAGGGAAAACGCAGCTGTGAAATCTGGGACTCCCAAAAGGCTCAGAGATCACAGCAGGTGACACAGGACACAACTCAAAACACCACGCTGGCTTGCACTGAGGGCAAGGATGCAGTGCAGGGATGGCAACAGGGTGGCTTTGCAGGACAGAGCTTAGAGCAGCTCCACAAACCCTCATCTGCATTGCAAGGAGCACAGCACTTAGAAAAAAAAAATCAGTTGCTAAATCAAGGGAATCTACCAATTGACTGAGCTGGCACCTCAAAGAGCCAGGAGATGCATCCAGGGCTCCTCCACCCCAAGCAAGCCCCAGCACGAGATGCCAGACACCAAATTTCAGGAGCAGACAACTGAACCAGGCACACAGCTACAAAGTGCTGCAGGACCCTGCAGCCACTCCCATAGAGGTGGCAGGACTCATCCCTGCCATGTTAAGTGAGTCTTGTCATTATTTTCAACCCTGCAGGGAAATCTAAATTGAACTTTGGCATATTGCTTTCTTCTGCAGCAATGCTCGAATGTTAACTCCAGTCCTGACAGGCATATTAATGGACTATTCTTTGCAAATAATCTTACCCTGACCAGTCCAAAAGGTCAGAACCATAAAAAAGAATAACAATTCTTTAAAAAAGCACAAAGATGGAAAACCATCACTACCATTGGCACAACCCCTCAACTTATTAACTGTCCTTGCAACAAGGTGAATTACAAGGTCTTGGATTTATTTGATTGATTGAGATCAAAAGATCATGGGGGAACACAGTAAATTGTATCTTTCCATGAACACATTTTGCTTTCAAGATTTGAGCAGATAGTTGCAGGAATTGAAAAGCTCAAGAGGAAGAAAAAAAGAAAAGAGAAAAAATAAAAGAGCATGTACAAAGGTGACTTCAAAAAGGCATCCCTTATTTTCTTCTTGACACCACCTGCATTTCTTAGAGCTATTTGCAAGTTTCTTCCATGTCCCCATACCCCTGAGACACAACATCTTATCTCTGCTATGCAGAAGACGATAAGGAACAATAAGACACTGGTGTAACTCCAGAGCAGACACCAGTGTTTGCTGACATTAGGGATGAAATGTAAATTTTAGAGAAACCAAAGTCCAACAAGAGGTTGAAGAACTTCCCATTGAAATCCAGATGTCCTACATGATAAGACAGGTATCTCACTGATCTTCTTCACTGGACCAAGGAAGACAAAGCACCTGCACACCCCCTGGTCATACGATGGCTTGGAGGCTGCCTGAGCCCAGGTTCCATTTGTCATTGGCAGCTCCCAGGGAAAGAATGAAGGAGGAAGAAGCAAGGGAACTAAAGGAGCAGCTATCTTCAGGACTTAATTTTAAGACCTAGCTGGTGAGCCATCATTTTTAAACTCAGGAGAAGCCTGCTGTGTTTGCTATCAAGACAAGACAAAGAAACACAATGGAGAACATGAACAGAAGAGCAAGAGAAGAAAAATTCAACTCTCCTCCACTTCATCAGCCCAAGAAAAAGAGAGGAAAAGTAATCACCCGATTCCTTTCTCTGTGTTTCACACGATATTCGTGTTTTGCTCAGTATACCTGTACTTGTATTGTGTTCTCATGTCACAAAAAAGCAGATGAGATTACACCCCTGAGAGTAAGGGTAAATCCCTTACATGGACCATGGAAGAGACCCAAATTCTCAGAAACTTACTACCAAGGAGCCAGAATTGATACAACCTCCTGTTTTTACCACAAGTTTGCACTGCATGCCAACAACAGATGATTAAACCTCTTTTTTCCCCTGATCTTATGCTTCCCTCCAGAATAACATCATTCAGGTAACAAAGTCACTGAGCACCAGCGTTAATTGCCACTGCATCAATTCTTCACCAAACCATATAGCTCATTCTGCACATATACACTCTGCTTTGTCTTTCACCTTATCAGCTTTGAATAAGGTTGTTAAGATAAGAATTTCACACATTCCCATTTCTAATCATCAGCAGGACTCTCCAGAAGTCACCTAGACAATTTTTCCACCAATGAAAGGATCGGTTCTCCTAAAAGCACATCTGCTACTGCTCTTCCAACTTGTTCTTGAACCTCTCCATGACTGAAACTGCCTAACCTCCTGGGGGGATCCACTCCAGCATTCACCTATCCTTAATGCAGACCATTCATTGACACACCTCAGCTAAATTTCCTTGCTGCAATTTAAGTTTATAATTTGTTTTATTTGCAGTGGACAGATTTAGTTTATTCTCTCTCTCCATGACAAATTCACTATTTCCAAAATTTACAAGTTGGGGCAGTGCTGCTTGTCCTCTCTTTGCCCATTCTGCTTCTGCTCACAGCACATTCTCAACCTCTGCATGTGTTTGTGTCTCCTTACCCCAAGAGAGCAGGCACTTGGATATCACAAGGCTATTTCAGGGGAAGATGCTCGCATCCAAAGGCTGATGCATTCAGGCACTCACAGTTACAAAGCACTCTGAAACGAAAAAAAAAGAGATTTGTCTTCAGGATGGCAGGAAGAGTCCAGTCCAGGAGTAAAGGAAAAACCAGCAACTCTGAAATGCAATTTTCCCCACACTGTTATTTAGCATGCAAAGAGATCTTCAAAAGCAACGTCACTGACTGTAGATACATCATGCACCACCACTTGGAGTTAGCCACATTTTCTCTGGCAATCACCATAAGGGTTTGATAATTTTGTGTTGTAGGAAACAAAGTGTTCATGGACTTTGCAGAGAGTTCTGCCAAGGTATAAGCAATACACAGCGCATGTCAAAATCAGATGGCTCTGACTCCAAAGCTTTAATCTCTGTGACAGAGGAAAAATTTTAATACTACCACTGGTGACTTTATTTGCAGTGTCACTGAAACCAACAGAGAAAAGATTTCCAGTCTGCTCTGAGATTTAAACGTGTGTAATTATGGGCTAGATCCAGAAGGTAAAAGTCAGTGTTGTATTCACTCCGTACCTCCTGATTCAGTATGTTCTAACTCGCAAAATGAAATCTTGCACGAACCCAAGTGTTTGGTGACAATGTAGAAAGGTAAAGAAAGGATTTACATGAACAGTGTTCAGAAACACAGGGGAGAGTTCTGAATGACAAAACCATCCCAAATTTCATGCAAGATAACAGGCAACAAGGGAGAGTAGCAATGATACATTTGCTGCCCTACTTCTAGAGGCTCTTGGAAAAACAGAGTTAGATGGTAGCAAACAATTTGCAACAACAGCACCTTTCAGCAGTAGATCACTTTTTGCACCCCAGCTCATCTAAATTCCTGTCTCCCCTCAGCAGGAGCTGCTCCTGCCCCCAAAGGATCAAGTGGCTTTGTAACAAATACACCTTTTCCGATGGTTGAAGCCAAGAAACACTCAATTTGTCACTTGCTGTGAAAACAAGATGCTTCTTACACATCTAAGGATGTGCCTATGCAAGAACTCAGTGTCTTGTCTTTTGCATGGATCATCCACCTGACTGTACCTTTGGCTACCACACTTTGTCCATCTCCAAGTTTCTGCTTGGGATGTTTTTTTTTCATCCTTTGTAATCCTACCAGCTGTCCTGGGCTTTTGCTTTCCTTCATCACTTGCACTCTTAGCAATGCCAACACTTACAGCCAGCCAGCCCAACTGCTGTCAGCACAGGAAGGTGACACACTCCAGTTTAGCACTGATTGGATAGCAGAAGTGCTGTTTCCAAGGCTAAAGAGGAATACCTACCCCAATAACGTCCCTAAAGCAGCACATAGCTGAGGAGACTGAGCAATAAATGCCTGAAGGTGAAAAACTCAAAGTAATCTTAAAATGTATGTTGGACAACTGATAAAAGACTCTAAATGCATGCCCATCTTTAAGGGTGAAAGTAGCTCCAAGGACTTCAACAAGATCATCTGCAGCTTCAGACACGTTACCTCCCAAAACACTAGTGAGATAAGGATGTTTAGCAAGGGATAGAGATATGAGGAATGCTTCCACTGAGAAAATACACCCATTTCTACAGCAGAATTAGGACAGCTGTTGAAACCCATGGAGTAGCATTGAATGGCAGCCCCGGACAGGGAGCCAAGACAACTACCACATGCAATTGAAACTGCCAAGGGATTAAGTTAGGTCAAATGTAATTACACAAATTGGATCCTGGCCAGAGTACTGGCTTATTCAAGAAAATTAAAAGAGGTGTTCAAAAGTTTCAGAGATTGAGTCCTCCTCCTGTTAATTATTTGGTGAGTCAGTCAGTGAAGTCTCAGTATTCTGGGAGGCCATCTGAAAAAGGGGAAAAAATGAGGCATAAACTTGAAAGGCATTAGAAGCGATTAGCAAAAGCCTTTGTTCTCCATGGCAATCCTGGCTGCACCAGTGCGAGAAAGCCTTTCATGTCCATGCTGAAAAGTGGCCTCAGTTCCTTTGATACTTATGGGAGGAAGCATTTAAATTTACAAATATCCCACTGACAGAAGTTACAGACAACAGTCGAGGAACTCCTGCATAACTCAGCCAGATCATACCAAGCTCTCAGGCAGGGAGTACTCCTGCTGAAGGGAGGAATGACAAGACACAAAGAAGTTCACTGACACCTGGAGCAATGTCCACTCTACATACTAGTGGTGTATGAAAGCTAAGTCATGTCAAAAAGGAGGTTACAGCCATGTGGGACAGTGGCTTCCTCTCCCTCATTCAGTTTTCAGAAGAGGGAGAGCATGCAAGGCAGGCAGTGGTAAGGAGACCAGAAAGGAAGCTTTGTGGTCTGGCAGCTGAGCGTCACTTAGAAAGATTAGATCCTGTTTATGCCTCTGCCATAAACCTTCTAAACGATAAGAGCAAAGTCACATATATCAAATTTTCCCACATATTTATTGCTGTGACTTTTGTGGCTGAATAAAGATACAGAAGGACTATGTCCAGAAGAGACAAGAGCTAGCAGGCAGGGATTGAGATTCTGTGTTCAACCTTTAATCAAGACTTGTACTATAACCATGTACAGCACTACAAAACACAGTGTTCTGGAAAAACAGGCCTTGTAAGTCTCAGTTTTGGCACCTGAAAGAAGTAGATGCCTATGCTACCTCTGTTTCTGGGAGTCATCATTAGAGATACACTCATTGCTGTCTTTGAAGCAGTTGGATGCGACAGTAAAAGCAGTATGGAATTGGAGATTAACCTTTTTTGGGTAGCTTATTCAGTGCAACGTACAGATGATGCACATGAAACAAACCATCTTTTGACTGACATGAAAAAAAACAGAGAGATGAAATAACTATCTTCTCAACAAGTGCCATACACGAGGCACGTCAAGTGACATGGCTTCATCTCACAGTGACAGCAGGTGAACACGCAACTGAAGCCTCTGCCATATTGATTTAGTGTGCTTTTTTTTTTCTTTTTTCCCTTTAACTTTTCATAAAATAAGCCAGGGAAAGGCAGACATTTCACAGCACAGATTGGTGCAATTTGTATTAATGGCCCAAGCATGGATGCAAGCAGCAGCTTGCTTCTCTTTGTGTGGAACAATCAACGGGGACAAGTCTGGTGGGACAACTGCTACCACGGCACACCTTGCCCCAGCCCAGCAACACGTCCTCCTCCAGCAGCTTCACAAGGAGCTGGGCAAGAACTAAGAACACAGGAAAAAAACTCTGCTGTTTTGCCATGCTGTGCAAAATTCAGGGGCAAGCAAATGTGGAAAGAGGTTGCATTCTGTGCTGACCACACACAAGCTGTTATTCTTCCAAAAGGTAGTCAAGTGCTCTTCCAGGTAGCAAAAGCACAAATGGCCCAAATTCCTCATGCCTGGCACTCCTCTGACAAGGTAATCACTCCCTTGGAGTCCTCAGGCACCACACAGATGACAAAGATTTCTTTTGCAAATAGGAACAAAACAGCATGGCAGCTCTTCCCATTCTTCCCCAACACCTTCCAACCAGCCTCCTGTGAAGCAGGTCCAATGCTTCCACTGGAAAGACGCACAGGAAAAGGCAGGTCAGAGCCAGAGCCACGACATGACCAGTGCCACACAACATGAGCACCACCACACGTCGGGGGAAAGCACGGGGCTGATGGGACACACACTACAAAAAAATAGATTTTTCAGCACAAAACAGGGCAGCCTGAAGGGTTTCATGCCAAAGAGGGACCTACTGCCATGCTGGCCAGGGCGTGCAGGGGGACATCCCCTTGTGGCAGCAGCGGTGATTAACCAGTACTGATAACAGCCTCCAGTGCCTGAACAAAGCACAAGGAAACAGCACAGCAAGGACTAATGCCAAGTGGCAATAAAGACAGAGGCAGGGCTGTTGTTCAAATACCTTTTTTATTTTTTTTATTTTTTTTTTGCCTAGGTTACTTGTTAAAAAAAAAAAGGTTCTGCATGCAGGGACATCCTGTTCACTATATTAAATTAAAGGGATGATTCAAGAGGGAACAGCTTTCAGCAGGCAGTGGGGGGAAAATCAATTTCAGGTTGCTATGGACAACTGGGCTGTCTCCTGTAAAACAGAATCGGATTCAGCTCTACAAACCTGAACACTAAACATTCCCTCAAATACAACACACACACACTCACTAAATTAATGGATACAATAAAATACAGACTTGTGTCATCTCCCAGGTTTTTTGGCCAAATGAAGGATGTGCTCAAATCTGCTAATTGTCACTAACTACAGGACTGGAGTTTGGCTCAGTGGTGGCTCTCTGATTGCCAGTCCAATACTCCCTTACAGGGGAAAAGCCTTCTAGCAGCCAAATAAACCAGAGCAGATTCACCTTGCTCTGGGCTCTTCCATGGGCTCTGGGCTTGCAGTGGGATCTAAAACCCTGTGCTGTGCTCCTGAAGAACTCAACTAGAAGGGACGGCAAAAACTCAGCCTGAGGCTCTCAAGTATGTCCTGGCTGATACTGGACAGAGGCAATTTAACCTGCTCTGGTCCTTGAATAGCCCAGATAGAAACAATGCCCTCCACCTGAGCAGCTGACCTATGGTCACAGCTGCAGTAGGAGCCTCACATGGAGGGACCACTGGGGACAACATGGTGGCCACAGTCCAACTCCAACATGGTATCCTCTCCCCATGTTTTGCACTGAAATAATTTCAAACAGGTTTCAAGCACCTCCTCCACTCCCTGCAGGAAGAAAAGCCTTGGTGAGAGAGACTGGAGCAGAGATGAGGCATTTGATTCTGTGTCCTTTCCCAGTAGCTGTTAAGAAATCAAAGAAATCCATCGAGATCAATCTCTCCATGAAGGCAACAGGAAACATTCCTATCCCATGATACTGTAAGTCTTACGGAGCAGTTAATGATTTTCCAATTAAATGTACCATCAAAATATAAGATTTTATTAGCAAAATCAATGATGTGTGCAGAGACAGTCCCACGTGTGTCTTAAAAAAAAAGTCTATGAATAAACCTGACAGGAATAAAGAACATCGTGCAATTATTACAGCTGTTTTACAGGATTCTCTAATCACAACAGCCCATACTT